GAACAAACCGATGAAAATTCCTGCTCTCGTGGTACTGAAACACTATCAGGAGAGACAGTCAGTGAGAAACACAATAAGAATGTCCCCAATCCCCCAGGCCCCTGGTGTCGCTGGTGTTCTCAGGACAAGGCGTGATGTTAGGGCTGAGTCATTTACTGCAGACGGTGGAGACTGTGATAGTGCAGGGATGCTGGAAGAGGGCAGAAGGGCGAAGGGGAGCCCACGTGTTTGCCTTTGAGGTGCACTGATAAACCCTGTTGGTTGGACACGGAGGCCACCTTGGTTGGTGTTGGATGGGCCATGTGCTGATGAGAAGGGCCAGATGAACTTGGCTGCTTCCCACTACCCCTGCCGGTGTCTGAGCAGCCTCATGGCTCACTTGGACCTGTGCAGGAGCCTCCAGGCTGTTCCCTGCTTCTGCCCACTCCCTCCACGCAGCAGTCCCAGTGATGCTATGAAACTTGCCTACGGCCCTGCAGCACCCACCCCATGGGGGATGATCCCCAGAATCCCACTGGGCCTTTCAGTCCCTCTGGGAGTGGCATGCCCATCTCTCCCAGGCATATCTTACCCACCCTTCCTCCTTTTGGCCTTCGATCCTCCCTGAGCATCACAGCTTGTTCCTGCCGCTGGGCCTTTGCACTGGCCACAGGCCCAGGACACAGTTCCCCTCCATTTTTGCACAGCACTCCAGCTCTCTGCCACCTGTCATCACCCCCTATCTTGATTTTTGGTGCACCAGTTGCCACTCTCCAGTGGCTTACTTATTTGGATAATTTGTTTGTTATCTCTTTGCCCCACTGGGCTTCTGTCTTATTCCCTGCTGTACCTCCAGCAGCCAGCCTGGGGCCTGGAACAAAACAGATGCTCAATAAATATTTGTCAGATGAATGAACGAGTGAATGAATGAACAGATCAATTGATCAGTTGCTCTTACTTCCTGAGCCTGGTGACAGGTGATATCAGGGAAATTTGAGGCAGCTTAAGCCCTAACCCCTTTCTCCTCGACCACCACCACTACTGTATCTCAGCTTTGGTAGACAGAAACTGAAAATTAAAAACCTCCCAGAGGTCCTAAATCCTTAGGGTAAAGTCCACTTGTTGGGACACAGATTTTAAGTTGCTTGTATCACAGCACAGTGGTCAGGGCACGGATCCCCAAGTCAGCAGCTGAGTTCAGTCTTGGCCACATCCCTTGCCAGCTGGGTGACCTTGGGCAAGTCACATGACCTCCTGAGTCTCAGCTTCCTCATCTGTGCAGTGGGAATGCCCAGCACCTGCTCAGCGGACTGTTCTGGGGGTTAAAGGAGGTAGCGCTTGCCCTGTGCCCTGGGAGTGCTTGGTGTGTGTCAGACCTTGGGAGATGTTAGCTGTTATTCTCAGCTGCGCTAACTCACCTCTGATTCTGCTGCAGTCTGGCTTCCTGGGACCAGAGTGACAAGGACACTGCTGGTTCCTGGTGTCCAGTGCATTCCCCTGGTGCCTGGCACCTTCTCTCTGTGACAGTGGAACTCACTCAGCCGTGAGTGACTGTGAATTTCTCTTACCCCGTCCCCACCCCAGCCCTGACTAATGACAGTCCTTATCATTCTTCCTTTCAACACAAGTTACTGAACCCTTGCCACATGCCAGATACTGGGGAGAGAAAGACAGAGATAGAGAGACAGAGCAGGGACCAAGACAGACAGAGGCCTGACCTCATGGAAGCTGCAGCCTGGCCAGGGAGCAAACATCATACAGATAACACATAAGTCCACAATAATTAAAATGGGTGTGGTGAGCATGCCTGGCACAGGGAGGGATGCAGCCAGGTGAGTTATGGGGTCTGGAGGGTCACAGGTTTCCCGAAGAAGCCCTGTCGAGCTGAGACCTGGAGAGTAGAAGAGAAGGAGGGCAGGAGGGACCACAGCCTTTTGGGGACAAGGAGCTGGCTGAGATTGCCGTGGACGGTCAGCAGTCCTGGATGGGGGTGCATGGAGAAGAAGAGAGAAAAAGGGATGATGGGGCTGGAGGAGGACGCGAGACCAGACCTGCAGGGCCCGTCGATGGTGGGTGGGAGCATGGAGTTTGTGGTTGGGCCACTGGGAGCCATTGAAGGACGCTGAGCAGAGGAGTAGAGGGATTGAGTTTGCTGACTTGGAATGTGAACCTGGGTACCAAGTGGAGAACACATACCTGTGAAGGGAGATGAGGCAGGGATCCAGGGGGGTGGGGGTGCCTGCTTTCTGGGCACGAGAGGATGGTGGCTTGACATGGTGAGGGATGCAGGTGTCCAGGCTCTGGCTGTGTCAGGCCCACGGATGCCAAGAGGAACAAGGCACAGCCCTTGCCCTCAAGGTGCCCCCAGTCTAGTCCTGACTCTGCAGGTCCAAACATGTGGGCAGGTGTCTGCCAGGGCCCCTCGCCTCCAGCTGGACGCTGCTGGCCAGGAAAGACAGAGTCCTTTGGTCCCCAGAGCTGCCAAGTGTCTGTACCAACTCAGTTTGCTTGTTGCTAGAGTGGGGATGTCTTCCAGAACCGTCTTCCGAGGTACAGCTTTTGTGCCTGATCTTGTAACCAATGTATGTCTTGTCTTTTTCTTTTTTTGCTGCAGCCAACTGGGTACATGGAAAACTCAGTCTCCTACAGCGCTATTGAAGACGTTCAGCTGCTGTCCTGGGAGAACGCCCCGAAGTACTGTTTACAGCTCACAATTCCTGGAGGAACTGTCTTACTGCAGGTAGGATAAATAAACATGAACAAGCAGTTTCTGCTCCCGTCCCCACTCACTCACCCTCCTCTTTCTCCTCGGAGGGAGACCGCCAACTATCAGGAGGAAAGGTTGTTTAACTTAGGGTGTTTTTTTCCTCCAAGTATGAGCAAGGTGTAAATCGAGGCTCACGGTGGGAGAGGAAGAGGGAGTGTGCACAGACTGAGCTCCTGCTGCATGTCTGCCACCATCTAGGAACTTTACATGTTGAGTTTTTACTTCTCTTAATGAAGCTGAGAAATAGGTTTTCTGGTCTCCACTTTACAGATAAGGAAACTGAGGCACATAGAGGCTTTAAGACTGTGAAAAGCAAGTAAGCAACAGATGCCACCTTTTGCTCTGCTTCGAGTGAGGAGATTTCTTCTCCTTGATCTAAGTCTTTGGGACTTTGCTGGAAGTAGAAGCCATCTCCTTGGAAGAGTGTGCATTTTGTGTGTATTGGTCAGGACCGTTGGTTGGAAATGATGCAGACATTATTTAAACTATCTGAAGCAAAAGGAGAATTTGATGCTGTAACTTTTAAGGTAACTGGAAAGTTTAAGAGAGGGCTTTAGGCATAGCTGGATCCAGGAGTCAAATTTTGTCATTAATATTCAGTCTCTCTCTTCCTATCTCCTGGGTTTGCTTATTGTGTGCTGGCTTCATTGTCAGGCAGTCTCTCCATGTGGTGGGAAAGATGGACTTCTGGCAGCCCCAGGCGACATTCTTGGAGCTTGCAATCCTTAAAAAACGTCAGAGCCATTTTCCTTTCAGTATCTTTCTATAAAATCTCATGGAAGATTATGTTGACTGTGCTGTATATTCACCCCAGGGGATGCCCTACCCTGGGTTACATGCACACCCTTACTGTAGACAACTGTGTGCTCTAATAGCCTTTACCAGGACCTCATGGGTAGAGAGGTAGGTCCACCAAGAAAGGAATTGTTACAGAAAGAATAATGTGGCTGATGCAGTTCATACAGATGACACATTCTGTATCTAATTCAGTCAGTGCCACACCAGTTTCCAACAGGGACCCCCAAGTCAGAGACTCCTCGTCCAGAAAGAATGTTCTCTCTCATCACTGGGAGAATGATCAGCCTTGGCCTTTCTTTCAGGAACATTTTCTTCCTACCCCTGTTACTACAGGGAGGCCTGCTCTGATCCCAAAGAGATGCTCCCTAAGACTTGTCTCAGGTGGCCACCAGATTAACACATGGGAGCCAAGAGGCATGCGGCTGGGCCTGTTAGGAACGTTGCACGCCACAGGCTGAGTCACAGCTAAACGTCCTTTAGGAAAATCCTGCCCTTTGCTATCATCTCTTGGAGGACAGCAGAGCCATGCCTGCCTGTCAGTTTTCTTCTCAGATCCCTCCTCCTCTGCAGTTGGCAGTTTTTCTCTCACCGACCCTTACCTCTTCCCTCCTCACCTCCAGCCAGCAGAGCTTTCCTCTCCGTTCGTCCGTCCTGCCCATCCGAGGCTCCAGCATATGGGGAGTGGTCAGTCCCGGCCCCCTTAGGCTGGTGGAAGAGCAGCAATTGAAGGCTGGGGGGTGGCGTGGGGGGCAATAACAGGATTCCATGGAAAGCTGAGAGAGGAAGGGGCTGAGAAAATCTCATTTGAATCACAGAGCACTGAGCCAGCCAGCCTGTGTGCTGGGGGTGGGGAATGGGGTGGGGTGGAGGTGAGTAAGCCCCTTCACCCCATCCTTGAAGAAGCTCCTGGGCCTCCTGGGAGGACAAAGCCATAAACAAATGACTGCAGAGGTAGCAGCTAAAATAGAGGCATGTCCCCGAGGAGCCCAGAGCAGGGAGTGACTCACTCATGCCAGAGAAGGCTCCCCGGGGTTGGCGATATTAGAGCTGGGTGTAGAGGGATGAGTAGGAGTGTGCCGGGGAGGTGGGGGGGCACACACTCTGGGCAGAGGGAAAGGAGTGCAAAGCATGAATGTGGGGGAGGGGCTACCCGCTGCCCTGTAGGCAAGAGGGAGGTGGGTGCAGTGCCCTGCATTTGTGTCCAGAGTTCTTGGGTCACAGCCAGATGTTACAGGTCTTTTTAGCTGGATGAAGAGGGCTGGGGGGCAGCGGGCAACTTACACCCAGGGAGGGTCTGAGCATCACTTGCCCTGGGGACAGAGAAGCAGTGAGGCTTGGAGGTTGCAGGTCACTGGGCAGGGCCAGGATGTCCCTTTAATCCAGGCTGTGGCTGCGGGCCGGCTGTGATGACTTGCCTGGCTGGGGCTGCGTCCGGCGGTGGCCTCGCGTCAGAGCTCCCCCTGCCGTGCTGACGGCGGGCGGGCCTGCGGCGGCTCCAGCACCCCTCTCGCTCGCTGCCCCCTGCTCCAGTGGATGGCACAGCCCGGGAGCCAGAGGCTGGAGCAGGAGAGCAGGAGGAGGAGGCCGGTGGCCCCTGGGATCAGAGCAGGACTCAGAGCCTCAGAGCCGGGGGGCGGGAAGCAGACGCAGCCTCCGCCCGTCACCCAGGGAGGCCCAGGTGGGTGCAGCCCTGCCCCTGCCTGCCTCAGTCTTTGCCTCGCTGTCATTTTCATCGCTTCTGCCTTGCTTCCTTCTTGTCGTCGCCCTCCTCCTCTCCTCCTGTGATTCATGGATGGTGTGCGGCTGTCTTGTTATATAAGCGGGTTCCGAGTCATCTTGGAGATGGGCTCCAGGCTGGGAGGGCCGTATGATTATGGGGTGGCCGGGGGCCACGTGGGGCCCCAGGCGGTATCCTGAGGTGTCGGGCAGGCACCCCTCACAGGCTGTTGTGATGGTCGCTTAGCCGGTCGCTTAGTCCTTTGCTTTGGGCTTGTCCCGATTCACGTGACAGGACCCAGCGCAGTGGCATGACAGCGCAGTCTTCCCTGCTCCGGGTGGGAGGTGGGGACCAATAAGCGGCCAGGTGTGCTTGGGGGCAAGGCCCCCTGGAAGAGTTTCCTCTGGGTGCTTCTGATCGGCTGAGGCTGAAGGTGCCTTGAGTTGAGCTGTCCCTACCACAGCCACCAGCCACACGGGGTTGTTTGCACTTAAATTAAAGTTATTGCATCAAGAAGGCAGTTCCTCAGTCCGCTAGCCACATTCTGAGTGTTCAGTACCAAGTGTAGCCAGTGGCTACCGTCCTGGACCGTGCAGGTAGAGAATGTTTCCATAGTCACACACAGAGTGTGACTCCAAAACTCTTCATTTTGACCCCATGCTCCGTGCACCGCCTGCCCCCGCAGAAATAGTCTCAGAATGCAGGGGGGTCTGCAGGATTCCAGCATCCCTGCCTCCCTAAACAGGATTCCATCCTGCTGCATGTGGCACAGCTATTCTCTCCTTGGGGGTGATGTCGGGGGTTGCAAGGGTCCCTGCCCTAGCCTGCCTGGTCTCCGTCTGTCTCTCCTTCAGGCGCTCTGTATCCATGTGTGTCTGTTTCCGTCCGGCCTTCTCAGACACTTTTTCTCCGTCTTTCCCCCTCCCTCTCTCTCCATATATTTCACTCTCTGCTTCTCTTGCACTCTCTTTCTCTGCTGCCTTTCTCCAGGCCTCTCTCTCCACCTGAGCCCTTCTCTCTGTCCGCCTTGACGTAACTCTCTCCATCCCTCCCTTTCCTCTCCCTGCCCCTCTCCTGGGGACGTCCTTACACAGCTGCTTTGTGAGAATTTGAGTTAGTGCCTCACTGAGACCCCCGGGAGCTGACCTATCTGAGTTCAGGGAAGGTCAAGAAAGGCTCTCAGGCAGATGTGCCTCCTCCTCTGCTCGGAGACACCAAGCAACATGCCGGCAGGTCGAGTCACCAAAGGCGCCAGCCTTCCAGCCTGAGTCCAACTGGCGTGTTTCTGGATGCTTTGTGTATTCCACTGTGAGCTCCCTAATGCCGTGTTGTTAGAATCCCTGGGTGCAGAAAGGACCTGTTTATCTTCTTTCTTCCCTTAATGCCCTTTCTGCTGGCGATTCATTGTGAGGGGTAACTACATTAGTACATAAACGGTGTAGTGAAAGCATCCTCGGGGGGTGCTCCTTGCGGCCCGTGCGGTGGGCTGGCGGGGATTAAAAAGCCGTGTGGTGGCAGATCATCTTCCAGAGATTTCTGCCTCCCAGATGGGTTTCTACCCGTTAGTAAGAAGTACACAGGGCTCATTGCTCGGAAAACAAGGTTTCGGGTGGGACCAGGGCAAGGGGACCCTCCTTTCCCGAGAGCTCCTGCTGCTTTCTGGAACGGTGTCCAAACCTGCTCTTCTCGCTGATGTTCCCGAAAGCTGCTCGGAAGCCAGGCATCTATTTACCCCAAAGGCTGGCGGCAGGGGCAGGGACAGGGCGGGTTCCCTTCTTACTGGAAGCTGGAGAGAAAGACCTTTCCGGCCTGAAAAGCACATGCTGTTTTTACCCTGAGAAGTTGGGCTGGGAAAGGAGAACCTGGGAACAGTCAGCCACAGTGCACCCTGGGCTGTTTTTCTCACCTCTCGAGACAATGCAACAATGAGAGAGAACTTGGCAACTTTCGAAGAGGAAATTAGGCAGAATTTGCCTGGAACGAGGCCCTTTCAGTATTCGAAAGATTTATCGCTGGGAGAAGTCAGTGCTGCTCGAGCAGGCCTGCCTGCTGCCAGGGGTTCTTTCCCAGGCTTGAGTCCAGGCTCCTCAGAGTGACCCTCAGGGTTCTGGGCTGGGAGCTGTGTCCCGTGGGGCCAGGTTGTCCAGGCTCGGCCCCTCCCACATCAGTGTGGCGACTCTGCCAAGACTCGCTCTGTCCCTTAGACCCAGTGTAGCCCAGTCCCCTCTCCCTTTCCCTGGAAGGCGCTTAGAGATGCCTACGCTGGGATTCCCAGTGTCCCCCGGCATCCTCTTTCCTTCTTCGAAACTTGACAAGCCAAAGGAAGGGGCAGTACATTCCACTCTGGCGTAACCTCTCTGGCTCCATCTGAGAGGGGAGGTGGCTGTGAGGATGCCCTTAGTGGCCACACCACGAGTCACCTTCCCTCTTGTTTGTGGGGTGGGGCCTCTGGGTGATTGGAACAGGCGCCAAGCCCTCCTCCCCTTCATCAGCACAGTGCTTTCAGATTTCCCCGCCCAGTTCCTGGGAGCCCAGCAGTAGAGAGAGCCAGCTGTGGAGTCATACAGACCTGAGGCCCAGCCTAGCTCTTCCAGGCTCCACCTGTGTAACCTTGGGCAGCAGGAATAACCTCTCTGGGCCTGCAGTTAATGTGTGAACTGGACCCATACTACCTGTCTCCTTGGGTGCTGTGGAAATCAGCAATATTACATGTAAAATACTTAACACTATGCCAGGTGCACAGTAGGTGCTCAGGAAAAGGCAGTCATGATGATTCTAAAGCCAAATACAACATTTCTAGAGTCAAATACAACATGGAGAAGCAGCGGTATTGAGGCTGAATAGTTCTTTTGAAGTTTACTGCACATGAAATGCTCTTCAAAATGAGCAGAGTAGGTTTAGTGATGCTTCATCCGTCTGCCCACCCACCCATCCATTTATCCTTCAGTCTGTTCACCTGTCTGTCCATCAGTCCATCTATCCGTATCTGTCCATCCACCTATCCATTTATCCACCTGTCCATCCACCTACCCATCCTCTTATCCATGTATCCATCCAATCATTCATTCATTCATTCATTCAACGTCATCCAGACTTTGATTTAACATTTATCCGAGTCTTATGGACACAGTGGTGAATAAGTCAGACTCACCCTGACCTCACAGAGCCCACAGACTGGAAAGGAAGAGGGACAAGATAGGCAATTACAGGACACTGTGACCTGTTCAGTGAGCTGTCATCACCTGATGTGATCAGGGTGGTGAAAGGGAAGGCACCATTAAGACAGGCATTCCAGAGCTGGCATTGTGGGTGAGACCCAAAAGGTAGAGTTCAGCAGGCCCTTAGGAAGGGGTTGAAGGCAGAGCGTGATCCCTGGTGCAATGTACACACCGTGTGAAAGCCAGACGAAAAGCAAAGCCAACCAGGTTATGCAAAATGATGCTTCAGTGACAAGCAGCACCCAATTCTAAGTGGCATAAAACAGCACAGGATGATTTCTCACCCATGCTGCACGTGCATCATGGGTCAGATGTGAGTCCGCAGCATCTGGATTGTTTCTGGTTGGCAGGGCAGGGGGCAGGGAACCGACTAAATCGTGCACTGGCTCTTCGAGGCTTCCCCCAGAAGTGACGCAAGTCACAGGGCTGTGAATTCCTACCACGTGCTGGAAGGAGAGCTGGAAACATTGGGAGGGGATGTGGATGAGACCATGGCAAGTCTGGTCTTAGTTTCCTCGTCAGAAACATGGCGGGAGAAGAAAGGCTGGGTGAGAGTTGGGTCCTTAATCTGTGGTCCACCGTGTTTTCCGAAACTGCCTGCACAATTGTGTGGGGGGTAGTGTACCAGTGTGCACATTGCTTGGGTGTGAGTCTGTCGCTTGTTTCAGGTTCTCAAAGCGTTTCAGGTTCCCATAAATCCTCAAAAGACTGAGAACCCCGGGACTGGGTGATCCTTGAAATCCCTTTCAGCCTGTGAATCAAAGAGCCATTTGTTACAATGGACGAATGAGGCCAAGGCCTCTGTCTTCCTCCAAAGTGCAGCTAGCATGGAGCAGGGCAGTCACGGTGGCCACTTCCCCTCCCAGCTGTGCTCTGGAGGAATGAGCCCTCAGGGGTGGGTGGGAGACGTTCGCTGTCTCTGCCTCTCAGGGAAGGAGGCACGAGAGGCTGAATGGCATCCTGCTTCCTCAGGCATCTCCAGCTTTGCCTTACCTATAATTAATTTACTCGGCAAACTTCCTAACCCCCAGCCTCACTGGGGAGGCAGCAGTTAATCCCAGTGGATCCTGCCTCCTTTCCCAATCCTGTGGGTGGGACAGATAAACCTCAGGGAGTAGGGGTAAGGGCTCCAAGAGCTGGGAAGTCAGGGAGGGGAGGTGGTCCTGGCCAGGGCTTTGGGGATGGCAAAGGAGTTTCCAAAGTGGAGAAGAGTAGGCGAGTGCCAGCGAAGAGCGGTGGGCAGTGGGGAGATGGTGTGGGCAGCTGTGAAAAGCAGGACACAGCAGACCCAAATGAGACCTGGGGATAAGGGCAGGCTGGACACAGGGCAGGAGAGGAGATCTGTGGAGCTGTTCCTGCTCAGCCGCCAGCTGGGCACACTGACTGAGGTCTGGGCAGGACCAAAACCACCTGGTGTGTAATCCCTGGGACCTGAGGGATGCCAAGAGGGCTCGTGGTGTTACTGGGAGAAGCTAGAGCTCTGGGAACTGGCTGATTCCTTCCAGAGAGACAATTGCAGGGAAATTGCATTGGAACATCCATTTTTGACAAGGAGGAAGGACCTGGTGGGGCCGTGTGTATCCATTAGGACTCTGGATGCAACCAGCCTATGTGGACTCAGGCTGCCGCAAGCAGGAAGGGAAAATACCAGAAGGATTGCCAGGATCCTGGAGAGCAGGCTTAGAAAGTGAACTGGGGCGGAGGCCAGTGGGAAGACGATGTCGCAGCCCAGTAACCACCTCCACAGGAAGACGCAGCCCCTGCCTCATAGTGAATTCTCACCCCCTCATCTTGACGTCACTTGCTCGAGACCCAGAGTCGTGGGCAGGAGCTTCTGATTGCCCCAGCCCAGATCACCTGCTCACACACAGCCAAGGGATGGGCCGAGAGGCCCATTTAAAGGTCTTTAACAGGGGCTCCTACCGGCGGAGGCCCCCTGGTTGGAAAGGGCTGGGCCTGGTCACAGGGGACACAGGCCTGTACTGGACCTGGTTGCCGAGGCAGCAAAACAAGTCCCCGTCCACCGCTACTACACCCGCACTGCTTTCCAATTTCTTGCACGGTTTGTGTTCTCATGCATCCCACCCTGGTGGTACTGGCCGTGCTACTCAGAGCCTGGGATTTGGACATGAGACCCTGACCTCAGGGATTTTACAGTCCTCTTTTTCATTCATTCGTTCATTCAACACAAATTGATTAATCTTACCATTCTAGAGATCTGAATCCCAAAACAGGTCCCACTGGGCTAAAAAGGTGTTGGCAGGGCTGGTTCCTTCTGAAACTCTAGGGAAGAATCCATTTCCTTCCTGTTTCCAGCTTCTAGAGGCCGCCCGCATCCCAGGGTTTGTGGCCAACCTCTCCTTCCATCTCTGGCTCTCTGACCGCCTGCCTCCGTCTTATAGAGACCCTTGTGATTACACTGGCCCACCCAGGTAATCCAGAATAATCTCCCCATCTCAGAATCCTTAACTTAATGACATCTGCAAAGTCCCTTTGCACCAAAGGTAACACACTCACAGGGGATCAGGACGTGGACAAGCTTTGGAAGTCTCTCATTGGATCTACCATACTTCCCTGTCTCTCTGGCCACCTTGGTGTGTTAACAAGCAGAGAAATAGTTGTGGACTAGAAGCATGCTGGAGCCGGCTCACACTGGCTTGTATCAGCTCCTGAGAGCAGACCACGATCATCTCTGCTCTGGTCCAGGAATGTCCCCTGGTAGCATGGAATCAGCCAAGGTGGCATCATTCACAGCATGGAAGTCCGCACACACTGTGATCAGGGCTTTTTATCCGGGAGAGCCTGTCCTTACACGCTTATCGGTGCACCGCTGGCCGTGGCTCCTGTGGGTACAGATCCCTGCTGTTGGGTGCTGTGTTCAGTAAGCATTTTAGATGGATTATCTCATCATTTGGGATCTTTGCACCGTTCTCTCTGAGCATGAGATGTATTTTGTCACCCTAATGAACAAGAATTTTCATGAGGCCACAGCTCAATCAACTCTGACCACGGACTCTCTGGGGTGCTCTGGTCCCCATGGCAGACTCCCCTTCTACCTCCACTGCCCCGGTCAGGTGTCATAGGCTTTGCGTCATCCAGGGACTTGCTCCAGGTCACACCACTAGACCTCAGACTTGAACCCAGGTCTCTCGGAGACTTGGATACCGCAGATGTTCCTGCATCACAGAGAGGGTGTCTCACAGCCTGCTCCTCCCTCAGGGCAGAAACTCAGACTCACCTTGCCTCCATGTGCTGGTACAGGTCTGTTAGGGTTCGGAATGAGTCTCTGAGCTTGCCCACAGGAGCCTAATGCCTGGTTGCTCGGGCCACTGAACCGGTTCATTGATTCCAGCCCAGAGATTTCCCCAAACTCTGCCCTAGGAGAGCACCTCATGTTTCATCGATGATTTGGAGGGTGTAAATCTACAAGAGCTAAATCTCCTTGAATGAGGGTGACCTGAAGTTGTACACGTGCTTCAGTGTGGCTCAGGGACAGAAGGTGGACATTCGTACTTGGAGGCAGTCTCTT